AAGACTCTCGATATCGATTGTGCCACTCTTACCTCTTCTACTATCTCAGAATCAAACAGATCAAGGAGTTGAAGGGTGGCATATTCAAACTGCTCAATACAGTGAAAGGTCCCTCCATGACTGCTGCACAGTTCGTAGACCAAGTCAAAACGAATGGAGAACTTCTTGAAAAGAGGCTCTGTACCATGATGAACACTGTTCGTGGCTCAAACCAATACTGGTACCTGAGAAGAAGTGAAGTGAAACGCATGATAGGGGTCTCCCACTTTCTTTCTCACTTTTAGCTGTGCAGAATATACCTCCGAAGACATTAGAGAGTACTTGCACAAAGTAAACACTGTTCCACCATCATATAACACTGGCAAACTCTGCACAGAAGATCCTGTGTCTGTATCGAGACAGTTTTCTCTAAAGTTTAACGAAATGTTTAATAAAGTTTTAATTAAGGGACAGGTTTTGGGCCCGGTTAGCAAGTTTTATTACAAGAAAGAGTACCAGGCCAGAGGAGCTCCGCACTATCACTGTTTAATCTGGATAGCCAATGCTCCAGTTGTCGGTGAGAGTAGAGCCGAAGATGTCATCAGATTTATAGACGAAAGAGTAACTTGTAACATACCAAATAAAGATACCTGTCCACACCTACACGAAATTGTTACGAGGTACCAGTTACACAAGTGCAGCAATTACTGTAAGAAAAGGAGAAAGTTTAGCAAAAACGTATTTGTTACAAAGGGCAAATTTGGATTTCCTCGCCCAGTTTACGAAGAAACTGTACTGAAAAATGTCCAAAAAAGCATGAAAGCAGAGAAAAGGATATATCACCTTAAACAGAGCGAGGAAGAAGTGAGAGTCAATGATTACAATCCTCTGCTTCTATTATTATGGAAGGCTAATATCGATGTATCCTTTACCAGTGAGTGTTCTCTTGCTCTGGCCGATTATGTGAGTGGCTACGTGACAAAGGCAGAAAGAGGTCACATGCAGGATCTGTGGCAAGACATCTTAGATGATAGAGGCATCTACAGTAAATTGTTTAGAATCGGCATAAGATGTCTCGACAGCCGACCCATTGGACTATACGAAACATGTGATATATTACTCGGTGAGCCACTTTGTAGAAAATCAAGAGAGGTATCATGGATTGATGTAGAAATGCCGCATAAAAGAAAACGAAATTTAACAAAGAAACTCAGTGAAGTTGAAGAAACAGCAGCAAACAATCCATCAACTGAAGACTTTTATGGGGAGGGCCTTGTCACTCACTTTTATCCAAACAGAGCCCAAGAACATGAAGAATATTGCCTTTATGACTTTGTAGCCAAACTCACTTACAAGGGCAAAGATAAAAATGGCGAACAAATCTATAGACCACTACAGAAAGAGCGCCTTCCTAACTTTATTGATTTTGATGTCTATAAAGAAAATCAGAGAGACAGTTTCTATTATGCCATCATTCTCCTTTTCGTGCCGTTTAGAAATGAGGATGAATTAGTTCATGATGGCGAAACTGTCCAAGAAGCATTCGATCGCCACATTGTCGACCACGAAAGGTGTGTCGAAGCAAATGAGAAATTCAGAAAGTTGCTCAAATGTAGAGAGAAATTAAAAGACATACAAGATGCCAGAGCAGCAAACAGAGAAGAGGAAAATGATGTGGAAGACAACGATCCACAGTTGATGGGACAGATTAAAGATGCAATGAATGACGTGAGAGATATGGACACTGGATCTGGTCTCACTATGCAAGAGAGAGAATCGATGCTAAATGTAGACCAAAAACACATCTTTGATCACGTAAAAGCTCATCTCTTGAGGCAAATTGAATACGAAAAGAAATCGAAACAAGAGAAGGAGCAATCAGAAAGTGTAAAACCATTGCACATGTTCATCAGTGGTGTAGGTGGCACCGGTAAATCTTTTCTTATTGAGGCAATTAAAGCACTAGTGAAAAGCCTCTGGTCAACACTGACCAAACAGACATGTGCAGTTTGTGCTCCAACAGGATTGGCAGCTTACAATGTGGGAGATGTGACAGCGCACAGACTGTTTCAGCTGCCAATAGAACACAATGGACAATGTGCCTCATACTGGTCCATACCAAAGGCTAGTCACAAAGTAATGAAAACAGAACTTCAGGATCTGAAAATGGTAATCATTGATGAAGTGTCCATGGTTTCTAGCCTCAATCTCACTTACATACACATGAGAATGAATGACATATTCAAATCAGACGAATGGTTTGGTGGCAAGAATGTCCTCTTTGTTGGTGACATCCTTCAATTGCCACCAGTTCGTGGACAACCAGTGTTTGACAAAGTAACAGCATCAACACTGAAATACAGACTTGGTAGTATGGGTGCAGTGAACATATGGCGTGATACTGTCACCTATGACAAATTGACAATAAATGAAAGACAAAAAACAGACCAGAAATTTTCGGAAATGTTGGACAAAGTGAGACGTGGCTTTCCAGACGATGAGACTCTCGCTACACTTTCCGAAAGGGTATTTTCGGCGCCCATTGAGAAAAAATTTAAAATATTACAACAGGGTGGTAACGCCCCAGTTTGCCTGTTTCCAAAAGTAGACATGTGCAAAGAATTTAATGAAACAATGCTGGCTAATCTACCAAGTCCTACCATAAAAATAAGAGCCACAAATTTAATTAATGGTACTGGCAACATACATGTATGTAGAAAGAAAGATGATGATGATTTAGAAAAAAAGGTTGAGAAAAAGTTAAAAGAATTAAATAAAGATATTAACAATACTGGTGGTTTAGAAGCCAAATTAAAATTGGCTGTGGGGGCTAGAGTAATGTTGCGTTGCAATGTAAATGTTGAAAAGTGATTAGTGAATGGAGCACTTGGTACAGTGCAGGCCATTTCAGAAACACGCATAACAGTTAAATTTGATAAAATAACTGATCTTTGTGAGATTGAAAAAGTCAAGAGAAAGTTTATGGTAATGAAAAATGTCTTTGTGTATAGAAGCCAGTTTCCTTTGATATTAGCTTTTGCTGTTACCATACACAAATGCCAGGGACTGTCACTAGATAATGCAATCATTGATCTGTCTGAAAACGTATTTAGTGCAGGAATGGCTTACGTTGCTCTATCACGAGTAAGAACACTGTCTGGTGTCCATTTGACATGTTTCAACCCTAAATCATTGATGGTTTCCTCTTGTAGCATAAAAGAAATAAACAGGTGGAGACAATTGTACAGGCCAGACCTCCCACAATATGCCATTCCTACAGATTGTGGCAGTAGAAAGCGTACACTTACTGGAACTATTGATGAGCCACAAGCAAAAAATCAAAAAAACATGCCACCACCAAAGGTAGCTTGTGATAAGAGAAGTGGCCATCAGACTGTAAGAACAACAATAAAGCTAATTGCCCCAAAAAACCACCTACTGTTATCACTAATAATAATAATAATGACGATAGTGATGATTGTGTGATGATGGGAATGAGTACAAGAGCTAGTAATTTAAAATACCATCCCCCCAATGCTGCTACTCAAAAAGCATGGTGTAATGCCCTAAACTTGGGATTTGTTAAATCATACAGACCAAAGTTGGGTAGCCCAACCACAGAATTAACTGTGCCCAAAGGATCTACTGATGTACCTGGCGATGGTATTATTGTTTATTTAATGCTCTGTCTCATGCCATTACAGGTTCTTATATTCAGCAAAATTTCATCAGATCGGCCATTATTAGACACATGCCTACAATGGAAAATCGGCTACATAGTTGGCTGACTCCCTATAATTCAGTAAAAGAATATATTGCTGGGGAAGATATGGATAAGAATTACACGTGGGTGGGAGATATCGAAATGTTAACAATGGCTGATTTACTGAATATGTACATATACT